GGCATTTAGAAGAATGCTTCTAAATAAAGGCTTTAAAATATTGATTTCTTCCTGTTAGAAGGGAGTTTTTCCTTCCCACTGTCTCCAAAGTGCTTGCTCATAGGGGAATCATATGATTGTTGGGTTTTTCTCTATGTATTTTTGTAGGGTCTGCCTTACAATATAATGCGTTTAGGCAACCATTGTTGTGATTTGGCGTTGTATAAATAAAACTGAATTGAATTAATTTCAGGAATCAGCCAGAGACATAAAAGGACTACTTGTCCACTTGTTGCCAACCATACTAGAATTTTAGTGTCTTTACCAAAGCAAATATTTAGTGTAAAAAAAATTCTCATCTGTGTCCTTGTTGTCTGACTTATTAGTCTGCAGACTTAAGATTGATTAGTCATGTCTAGTAGGCTAAAATAACAAGAACTTTGTTAGGCCATCTATCTCATAAGAGATTATGCCCCTTGTTTAATGAGTATAACGTATGACGTGCTGAAGAATATCCACAGACATGTTTCCACTCGAGCAGGTTAATTCACAGTTGGGTGTTTTTTGGTTTACACTTAGTTAACTGTAATGTCCGCTCTGAATGCTAGAGTTGTTTTTCACTTCAAGCACACAGTGTCAGTGCTGTTAATGTATACTCAAAATGTAATTATATAATTTGAAATCAGTCATTTGACTGTGAAAATCAACAATCAGTTATTTGGTTCCACCCTGATTCTACGAGCCATTCGATCTCTACAACCACAGTGAGAGCTTGGGCCATAATTCTGGCCCTTGTCCACCTTAAAACATAGTTATCATCCTTCATATCTTGGTGCACACATGAATAATGTGTCTTCATGACGCATGAACCACCGCGTTCTTTCTTTCTCTAATAAATAAACGGAAACAACTGAGGGTACGTTTAGCTTACAAATAAACTATTGCGAATGATGTGACTGATCAGTTGATTACTCACAATGCTGATTTAAATAAGAAATGATATTTTTCATCATGTCTTGTTTGTCCTGCAGGACTTTTTTTCTTTTGTAAAATAAATTAGCTTCTGCAGTGTGCAACCTAAGGTCCGCAGTCTGTGTGTTTATTACATCACCAAACATATGAAAGGATTGCTTAGTAGACAGAAGTCCTGTCATTTACCCTCGGGTCATTATGTCACACTAGAATTTCCAATTTTCAAAAATGCTGGCTGACAGCTTTTCTGCTTACTACTCGTAGTAAAACCTTGTGTTTTCTGCACTGACTCCCAGGTGTCACATGTCATTTCCAAACTTATTGCACAGATTAAAGAGAAAATGGAACATGGTAAACGTCAAACATGGCTCTGACTATTTGTCTCCATGTTTCTCGTCCTCTTCTGTGTTTCTTCCCTTAAGACATTTTGTGTGTCCATTACCACCCCTCCTTTTTGTAAATGATCAGCACTTCAAAGCCTCCATTGAGCAGTGTCAGTAAGCTCCCAGGCTGCAGGATCTGCTGAGCCCAGGCTTACATTAAAGCTTATCCAATCCCAGCTACAGGTGTGCTGCGCTGCCTGTTCCCAGGGGACAAGAGACGCTTCAAACACACCAAAACACAACCTTCAAAAGGCTGCGTGTCATCAGCAGTAATTCCTGAACACTGAGGAATCAGCAGAGTGCTCTGTCATCTGAAACTGACATTGAGAGAGTGAGAGAGAAGCAGAGAGAGTGTGGGCAGAAAAACACACTGTCATTCATACCTTCTCATTATATCCCTGAGTCACAGAGAAAGCCCGGAGCTGAGCTTTCCTACACTCACATTACCAACTGGTTATGTGGGAGTTGGGATTTTGACCATATGTAGTAATAGCTGCAAGTAACCACATCACTATGTTTGTGTTGGCTTTGTATATTTGTCTTTCTGTTTGTGTATATACATGGATATGCATGTAGGTGTGTCTAAAAACAGACCTTGAGGCATGCTGTGGGCATGTGGGGATTGGAGGTGGAGGTTCTGGTGGGGGATCATTGTTCCTCCAAGGTGATGAAGGGAACACTCGTCTAAACATTGTAAAGAGATGTTCTAAACCTGGTTACATTGTATATCGATGATCTATAGTGAGTTCAGGTCGTGTTTTGAAACTCTTCACAATTGTATATCTATTGTCCTGTAAATGTGAAGGTGATCTGAAGGTGTATTATTTAATGTTTTTACTTGTTCAAAGTTTTCAATGTTTTCTTCTAACAAGGTTACAAAAAGCTGTTATGTCCTTCCCACGTTACTTTGAAAATGTTTTAGCTGTCTTTGCTGAGTCAAACGTGGGAAACTGTGAATGGCTTCTGTTCATCTGGACGTAGCGTTTTTGTCACTCATCCAAGTGACTTTTTCAGTCGAATGCCTTATTAAGTTTGTCACCTTCCAGTTGGAATTTCTTGAAAATCTCAGAATATTTTCATAGTGATCCCTGAAATGGAATCTGCCTCATCTTGAGCTGTTGTATCTCTGCGCGTAGCTTGAAGTTAAGTCTTAGCTAGTTTTAATTAAATAGATTTCCATTTGGCTTGATATCCAGGGGTACCCCAATATACCATACATAACATAATCTTTTAGGTCAAGTAGGGCGAGACCAACTCTGTTCTTTCCAAACTCTTCAGTTTTCAGGATCGGAGCATCATGTTAACTAATGATATGGACTCAGCTTGTGAGTTTCAAAACAAGATCAGATTTTGGATGGTGGTTGTCTCCCAAATTTTGATCAGTCAGACAAAAAACAAACGACACACTTGTTTATGGTGAATGTGAGATGAAGTTTTCACTGAAAGCTGCAGAGGTATCAGGCATTAATGCTCTCTTTGTAAGTTTGGACATATATCAGGAATAACTAAGATATTGCAGATCACAACGTAAGCGCAACATTACAAGTTTTCTCACATATCAGGTTTTTTTCTCCTTATAGCTAATTAATTTGTCCCTTTTTGTAGAGCCACTCAACACCACTCATTTACCTTACACCAGATCTTATTAGATTAGATTAGACCAAGTGCTGGGACATGAACTTTTCCCTAACCCTCTGGAGAGGCAGCTCCATTAATCTCTTGCAATTTGAGCCTGTGTCAGCCCTGTGATAGACTCTGGGCTTTTCCAGCCTGTAACCCACCTTTTCCTAAACATGTGCCAAGATACACTGCACACTCTTCTGACTCTTCTCAGTTTAAGGGAATAATTGATAGTGTTGATACATTGAACTGTATATTGTAAGGTTTGGTCTGATACTGGACAGTGTAGCTTTTGTCCTGTAATGCCTGCGTGTATTGTTTAAATCACTGAGGTTCTGTGAAAATGCCGACTGTTAGGTGGCAGCTCCAGTGAGGGTAGACGTGCTTCTAGGGTGAGTTTCAGCAATAAGTCAAACACACACAACAATTTGGAACTTCTAATTATAACACTGAGTCATACAGAAACTTTGAGTTGAGGTCACAGGTGTTCCTGAATCCATGGTTAGTTTTTATATACGTATGTTTAACTGTTTCAGCTCTATGATGTCACAGATAAAGTATATGTCAGAGACAACTATTTGTATTTGCTATTAAGTCATTCCTAATTTGTACCCATGCATACACACGACACAACAGCAGTGAACATACTTTCACGTTGTAATTTATTTTAAAGAGGCGATGAGCTAATGCCACATGTTCTCATCCTGTTAGTCTTTGGGTGGCTAACGGGAGACATGCTCTAACATGTCAGTGTTTTGAAGTTGGCATTTGGCTATGGAAGGTAACCTCTCCTTAACTGATGTCTGACAGTGATTGAGATGGATCGCAGGGAGGGAAGGAAGCAAAGAGAGACATGAGGCTACGGGAGAGAGCCATTGGCAATAAAAGGGGGGAGGAGGGTGTGTCTGGGAAATGGACTTGTTTTAACATCAAAGATAACTATACTCAGGACCCAGAAAAGACCTTGCATTTGATTGGGACACACTGCGCTTTACCGTTGGCTCTTCCTGTTTGCCAGAAGCCTTATCCTTATAAATTAGAAGTCTAAACCACCATTCCCACCCACATGGCACAAACCTGAAATAAATTCAGCATCTCAGACCAAGTTGATATTTTAGAAGTGTTCATTCTGCAGATTCTTGCCACATGCTACAGGTTAAACCCAGTTACTGCAACCATACCACAGCTTTATCTGGCTAGTTCCCAAAATGAACACGAGAACAAGGCTTATTACCATATCATTATACAGCATCTCATTTGGAATTAATGGTTAAAATGTAACATTTCGTGATGCAATTTTGAATTTATTGTTCTCTTGGTGTCCAGGTTTTGTGGTAGCAAAGTGAGGCACAAATCATAATGCTTCCTCCACCATGCTTGACTGTTTGGGTTCAGTTCCTTTTTCCTCCAAGCCTAAACATATGCTTTACACCAAAAAGTATAATATAAAAAACATTTTAATCTGTCCAGACAACATTGTTTCAAGCATCTTCAAGTGTTTCTACGTATTTTTTTTCCATAAACTTAAGACATGGCAGTTTTGGGGTGTTTTTGGAGTGCTTAACATCATTCTTATTTTGTGTTTTACTGCTTAGACTTTAAGTAACCAGACTGTATGCTTTTACACACAGAGAGAGGTACCTTTTTTATAACCCACACTTTCAGCCTCATCTCCTTAATTTGGAACACTTTACTCAAAGTACCTTCTGGAAGAGTCACCACAGAGATTCACTTATTTTCCCAGCTTGGAAGTGTGATTGATTAAACAATGTATTCAGTAAAGACACAATAATCCAACTACTGGAATAAACTAAAAAACACATACATTGGGTTGTATATAACTGTGACTTGGTTGCAAATCAGACAATTTTATGGCGAGTAATGAGTGCTGAAAATTCTGGTAGTTTTGGTAGATTTTGTGTGTATGTTTCATGTGTCGACAAAAAACCAACTGTAAAAAAAAAAAAAACTTAAAGATTTCCTACTGTTTGCCTCTAATGCTGTAAACTAAACTATTGTGTCTAAAATTTGATGTGCTGTTTTTAGAACAAAGTGAAACTCAGGGCACACTGTCTGGTGAAGTCACCAAAGGAAAAGAGAAAGAAAATGTATCACCATCATCTGTGGGAGAAAAGACCACTGAGAAGGGTGAGTTTCTGTTGTTTGCCCTTATGTACACAAATGTTCATGTGTTCATACATCATTGGTCTACATAATATGTTTTGAAACCCTCACATCCATGTATTGAGCGGAAGTGCTGAAAGGGCCATACTAAAACAAGAAAAAAGAAGTCTAATTTAGTTGAGCTGGTTCAAAGTAGGGTAGAGCCATGCAAAATGTATGACAAGTAGAAACTTGTCTAATAGTTCCATTTAAGCCACAGTACTGTTGCAAGACAATCCTCTCTAATATTTTAGCTAAACTGCTTGTCATCAGTTTGCTTAAGGAATTAAGGCCTCAATTGTAGAGGAGAGACTCCACAGTGAACTACGGTAAACATCATCTTCACTGCAGCTGGGTTAGCCGCTTTTTTGTCGAAACACTGAGGTTGCTTTGGCTAAATTTTGTAATACTTTATATCACACACATGCTCCTACATATTTTACAGTCAGCATACATCTATTTTAGTCAGAAATGCAAGTGAAGTGTTGTCGAGCACAGCCAGCATTCCTGCTGAGTTTTCACTAATAACAGCCTCCTTAACACAGTAACCTCACAGGCTTCCTCTAATGTGAAAATTGGCTACTGAAGGCGAGAAAAAGAATTACTGGTTGGCAAAGGTCACTTCAGCCTGTTTGTTTCACACAAGTCACAACAGTGGTTGGTGGTGACATAATCACTGGCCCCAACGACCCAGCAGCTGGCCAATCAGCTTGCCAGACAGCAAGCTGATTTTTTTTTTTTTTTTTTTTTTTATTGATTTTTTTTTTTTACTCTGGGCTGCTGATCATGTCAAACTTTGAAATACCTTATTGGAACGGTCACTGGTCTGTAACAACGAAAAGTTCCTGCCCCAGGTATTTGAGCCCCAGGTCTTCTGAGTAATTCAAGTTAACACATTTTACAAGATGAACGGAAATCACACAGCTGTCTTCAAAGTTGAACCTTACTAGTAGGCTAAGGCTCATAAACATAGCTGGTACATTGTTAAAATGTGATGGATGCTTTTTACAAAATCTTGCTTCTGGATTTTAAAGTCAAAAATGTTACAAGAATATTAGGATGTTAAGGTTTTCACAGGTTTTCTTCTAGCACAGCTTGATGACAGAAAGATTTCAAACTGCTAAATTAATGCTCACTTTCTGATGTCCTGTTGAAATGGTATACTATATCAGGGTCTCCTTTCAGTACATTGTAAAAAATTATCACAGTCATTTAATCACTTGCATAAACATGAGATGCATCTACAGAGTCTTTGACTGTGGTTGTATGCATCAGTGTGCCTGCACACAAACATGGACAGTACACTTTATAAGTGAGTCTTTGTGTTCACAGCTTGCCTAAGCAGGCAGATTCTGCCCCCTGAGTAAATATGGGAAGCTACTGATAACATTCATTTTTGTATAGCAAGGACGCATACACACACCAAAACACACACAGTACACACACGGGCAGCTCTGTCATGGAATGATAACTTATTTTGTTACTCCAGCATGCTTTGCCTACAGCACTATCTGTACTGTGTACCTGAGATTTTGTTAGTGGAGTAGTACTCAAGTCCCACATATGTGTTCAATATCCGAGTTGAATAAAATGTATTACAGCAGATTTACACCATCTTAAATGACATTCCCTGTTTTACAGAGCCAGGAAACAAAAGGCAATAGTTCTTCTGAATGAAAGATCTAGGAATTTCTTCCAAGCAGAATGAGAGATTCTTGTGTTGTATTTTTTGCCTACAGTCACACTTCCAGGTGCTGTAAATATACTGACACGGGTGATGCGCCTGGCTCAACGGCACCTTTTGGACCCAATGGGGCGACAGCGGGTCGAAAAAAAGAGTTCACAAACACAGGCAGCACCCAGACAGCAGAGTCCTGCAACTGGACGCTTCTGCGGGAGTCGGACTTCGGCTTCATTAACACAAGCGCAGGTAAAACTTGGAGACATCTTGCTTTGAAATACAGCTAAACCATGACAGTAACAGTAGGTTTTAAAGCGTGTAACTCACAGCACAAGCCTTTTTGTATGGAGAATTGTTGTGTCTTCTACTCAGAGATTTAGATAAGATGTTTATTATTACTCATACCTGCATGTTCTGCAAAAAGCTATAGATTGTAAATTACAAGTCCTTTAAGTTTCCGTAAGACAGGTCCTGGACCTTTTTCCTTTTGTAGGGTTTCTCTGATTCACCATTTGATTCCATTCCAGCATAAAACCTTTGATAAAACTGCCCATGTATCATAGTCACACCTGAGTTTTACAGACCTTGTGTATGAACATGTCTAGAGATAAGATTTAGAGTTGCTGGTAGGGAGGTTTTATTACCATTGGACAGGCTTGCCTGGCTGCTTTCCTGTCTTAGTTTGTTGCCCTGAGCTCAATGGCTGCTTGCCGTAGGCCTGTTTTTTACTGGACAGATATCAGAGAGGACCTGATCTTGACATCTGTCATATTTTTCTAAGCCTTACTTTACTACACATGCAAAAGTATACATTTATTATGAAAACTCACTTGTTCAGTATCTTTTTCTTTCTTTTCCATTGTGACTGACACAAGTTTTTGATGACTGAGAAGATAATGATTAATAACCACATCCTTTTAATTATTTTCCATTTAACCCACCACAGAACAAAAATAGAAGGTGTGCTTGGAAACCCGATCACTGCCGTTGTACGTTACTCTGGTTTTTGTTTTGTTTGGCTCGCTAATAATAAAGTAATATAACGTTCGTATTCACAGTTCATTCAGATTCAAACTTTCTTCCAAGCTGTTCTTTGAGTGCTCATTCCCCTTAACTTCAATTCTTTGCAAGATTTCCTGCCGTTTGGAGACTCTGATTTTTCTCACCTAAATGGAGTTTTCTTTTGTTTTTAATTTAACCAGCATTCACTGAGTGCCAGCATCTATGAAAGCCTTGAACAAAAGACCAAGTGTCTGATGACAAGAGTTTCAACAGCTCCATTCACAATCCAAAATCCTTTAGCTAAAGCCAATCTGGGCAGCAAGAATCACCAATTTGGCATCTCATGTAAATCACTTGTGACACAGCAGGGCTTATCTCTATAGTCCCCATAATGACTTTACATAATGTTTAGTAACAAGGATTTTCTGAACTTCTAACCACAAGTGTTTGTATCCTTACGTGCCAGCACAGAAGCAGCTACAGTAAGTTTGGAAAAAGAGGATTATTTGTCGGGGCACATTCCTATATCTTAAAACAAATGCTTATTATTTCAAGCTTGGTCTACTTAGTGTAGTTCTTCATTATTAGCCTGATGACTGAATAAATAAACTGGTCACGTTCAGCAGCACAGCTCAGTTAGACAGTGCTGTGAGCATAAAATTGATGGAGCTTTGGGTTATGAAACCACACAGGTCACTAAATCTCTGGAGGTGGTTGCATTTGGACATCCAGCTCTGTTCATTCGTTTGGAACTGCACTTTGACACCACAGCTTGGTACATGAAGGATTTTCTGTGAAAACAACTTTTTTTGTTTAAGTGACCTTTTTGTCACAAACAAACTGTTGCTTTGATTGTCCATGAAGTAAGTGACAGAATAACTGGATTTCTTAGGGTTTTGTGAGAGACTTTGGGAATGCAACCTGGAAACAAATCGGAAGAAATTTAAAAAAAAACCCATAAAGATGATCGATTCAAAACTGGAAGTGAAAAATAATAGAAATAAGAGCAGCGAAAAAGAATTGGAGGTGTCCAATTGATCTAGTGTGCCACAAGCAGACAAAGTTTGAAAACACAAAAGTGCAAAGAAGCTTCAGTTAATTCTGTTGAATAACTCTTAGAGGATTTTATTAGCTTGTTTTCTGTCTGCCAATCACGATCCCTGTTCATTGTCTATAAAAGAGTTGAAGTTCAGTTTTGGCACAATCAACATCAACAACAGCACTTTGTGGTAAAGAATCAAATTGTGTAGCATTTAATTTGTGTGTGTGTTTGTTTGTTTTTAATTTATAGAAAATGCGCACAGTTGGTATGACACAGTACTGTCATAATACACATTCATAATTAATGATATTGTGTCACTGTAGCTGATGAGACAGAATGGGATACATCTCATCGCTGTGATTCAGCCCCAAATCATCTGGTTTCAGCTCCTTTACCAGCTCCTTGTTTCTTCTTTCAGATTCGATCCAGGAGGCGAACGCAGCAGAGAGGCGTCACGAATCAGCCAGTAGTGGAGGAGAGCAGTGACGATGTTACTGTGGGAGATGCAGAAGATTGCGAAAAAACTGAAGGGTAAGGAAGTTTAATTTTGAGATCTCTGTACTCAGCCATATTATTTAAAACTTTATGCTTGACTGTGGTTTAGAACAGTGTCCACTGTTCCACAGTGGATGAGTCTTTTGTTTGTTTGTTTGTTTGTTTGTTTGAAAGGAACAGCACAAGCAGATACGTTTGTCTAGGATTTTCCAACGAAATATGTACAATCCACAATAAATCCTTTAGAAGCTTATACACATTAACACCTTCTGACATCATCATTACTCTTCTCTCCATTTCAGACTCCCTTTGTTTATGTACATTAAACAAAGTCATGACACCCTCTCCTTTCATCAACACCTTTTCTTTTATGCTCATTTAAGTGGTGGGCTCTTTGATTCCCACAATCCGGTAAAATTTCCCCTGCAGCTGTTTGGGCTGTAAGAAACCTTTTGTGCATGAGTCATTAACAAATTGGAATGTGAGATTATAATTTTGTCCTGAGGGCTGCTCATCATCAGTCCCTTTGTCAGACTATGAAACATTTTCATAGTTAGGTGTGTACAAACGTAATTTGGTCTTCACTTTGTAGGGCTTATTCAAGAAACTCTTTATCTCATAGGGACTTTACTGTATCTACCTACTCACTTAAAAGTGAGTAGGTAGATACTTTCGGTTGCTCCGAAACTTTAATGGGGTTCCCTCTGCGGATTCATGTGCATATTTACTCCAGACAGCCTTAATGCCAGACATGTTTATCCAGGCTTGGGACAGGCACTGGAAGTAAATTGATTTGTGACCTCCACCGCCCATAAATATTTAAAAATGGTTATGCACACACGCAAATTAGCCCACACATACATAATACAGTTAACAATTAAAAGCATGAGGAACAACACAAACAGACGCAAAAACTCGTATTTAAACATGCATGTCCTAAACTACAGGATTGGGCTAATGTATTTTTTCTTTTCATTCCTTTATTTACAGTAAATATAAAGGGAAACTACAGAAAGGGGTAATTTAATGTCAATGTTACATTTTCCCATTTTATTGGTTTCATTTATGTTTCACTGGCCCATTAAACATTTAACTGGTTTTAATTACTTTTAAATATGTTTGGGTAGCTTAACCTTAAATATTTAGTGTAGAGCACTAAGATTTTTAACAATCAAAACCTTCAGTTGTGTTAAAATCTTAACAATATATGTGTTGGAGTAAACACTGTGCCCCGTGCTCTTGCACTCACACCTGCATGCTGCAGGTACTGACATAGAGGCGGATGGTTGATGTCTTCCTGCAGCAAAGTTTACATGAAATCTGCCAGATTTGCAGTTTATTTGCATGGGCAGACAAACACAGGCAGCTTTTGTCTTACCTCATTTTAAAACAGCTTTTTCACAGTGTAAAACCAACCAGCACTGGATGGAAGTAAGTGAAAAGTGTGTATGTGTGTGTCAAAGAGGAGAGTTGGCAGCACCATAATGAACTACCACCATAATAACATGATTACTGTCACTGCTTTTTTGGTTATTTTGTATTTGTTGTATGTAAATGCAGGTGAATCGCTTACACTGTCCAGTTTTGCACACCCTTCCTGCTGTTTTTGTTACCTGGGATACTTTTTTTTTTGTTAACCTGCCAATCAGGCCGCTGGTTTTGCCAAACACCATGTAATGAAACCTTAATCCTTACATAAGAACACAGACAGTTACAATTTGTGCTTGCTGCATGGTAGCATACAGTCATTAAATTTTTTTTTTACTTTTACAATTTCACAGTCACTTAAAGTATTGTTCTCTATTGTGAAACCAACTCAGTTTTCAGCAGCTTTTAGAATTTCACAAAAGTCTTCTAATCCTCCCATTGTAATGGTTTTTTTCCCCTCTCATAGGCTGTCACACTCATGTTAGTGGTGTGTGTGTGTGTACATGTGTGTGTACTCATGCATGTGTTTGTGCTCATGTTTCAAGCATACTTGTCATTCCTCGCAGCTTTTGTCTTCGTGTCAAGTGGTTTAGGTTGTTGTAACCAGGCTGTGGGTCACCAGGGGTCACCACTGGGATTATTGTAATAGGGTGGCAAATTAGGGGATGAGGGTTAGGACTGGGCGGTGAAAATGCCTACCGTCTTAACAAGCTGACTTGTCTCACGCTGACTTACCTTTGTTTGAATGATGACGTATTCACAATGTGGAGGTTTAAAAATAGCCAAATCTTGCACCCAATCCTTGGTGAATTGGATGTGCGCCTCCAAAGATTTATGATTGCAAAACTGGTTCGCCGTGTATGACTCCACAGACTAGGTACGAGAATATATCATGGTAAGTCAATAACGGTTGGTCTTCAGGGTTTGTACTCCACTGCTGTAATTCATATGGGTCCACATTTCCAATGCACGTACGTTTTGCAAGTACCGTCTCTCTGCATCCGGACGCAATCTGTCTCTATAACCGTCCTTTTTCTTTTGAGCTGCTTTTAAGTATGGTTCATAGCAATCTTCCTTCCAACACAGTGTGTTTGTTTTAATTCGTGGCCTGCCAGTATGGCTCCCACAATGCATTGTGGCGTTACGTCAACTCCAAATCCCTATAACACCAAACTGAATCCCCTTCGAGATGAGTTGCGTTCCAGATGCGTTTTTTACAGAAGGAGAAATATTTTAGTATTTAACAATAACGATAATAATACAAGTGTGACTGGATGATATACCTTTTTCAGAGTCAAACACTAATGCAGGTTTAGGATGATAGCATTGGTAATTATTTTCCATTATCTGAGATGGTAATAGAGCTGTTTTAAGTTATTATACAGATTAATTAAACCTCATATTAGCCTGTAAGCTTGTTGTCACATTAAGAACACACGTTTTAAACATTAGATGATTTCTCATCACGGCAGGTCAGTGAAAATGAAGCAGTTCACACCACCCAAGTGTGAAATTAAAATGTTCAGTAACAAAGACAATGAGAAAAATCCTTTGCACATCTCACTTGTGCAGAGTTTTGCATAATTTAAGTCTGATCCAGTTTGTTAGCTTTGTTCTTTTCTTTTTGTTTCTCAGCAGGGCTTCAAGGATTCAGTAAAAATACATTTTTAACATTGCTTACTGCAAAGGATTTCTAAAATGTTCTTAATTTAATCAGCAAGTCACTGAGAGGGTGGGCTCTGTTCTCTTCTCTTGAGGGCAAACAAAAATACTCAGTTTGCATCAGGATTATTTTTTCTGTATAATGTGTTCACAAACGATTCACATGAACCAGGACTTGAGAGTTACTGTGTGCTCACAGCAAACATCAAAGAAAAACATCTTGCTTAGGATCCTATCAGGCTTGGCTAAGTAGGGCCAGCTTCAGCGGGGTCAAAGTTCAGGGATTGGTGGTAGTGTGTGACCCCTGTTACACTAAGAGGTCACACTACTTGAATACCACAGTCACTTGGCATTATACCAAGACTGCGTGACATACCTATCCCTGTGCAGTGTTTGAGTATTTTTGCTTAGCCTTTGTCTCAGAGGTATACTGTCAGACATGTTGAATTTGTTAAGAAACCAGTAGACAAAACATGAAGCGACGTACAGGAGGCAGTCCATCAGACAACAGTAGGAATGCTCTGCGTTCCTTTGTGGCATTTGTCCCTCAGAATTCCCCCTGGCCTCCCTACCTGCCTAAGCAGGCTTACATGCATTCAACAGATGTGATACTTTTAATCTTCAAATCTGGATCCAAAATCTATTTGGGAAAGTTCTTTATGGTATGGAATAACTTTTGAAGTCTTGACATTAGCATCATTTTTATGTAATCCCACCCCCGATATTGAGTTTCGATGTATTTTCCATTACAGTATATGCATGTTTGTCATGAGATGGAACAAGAAGCTATACTTGCCCCTAGCTGAGTTTGCTCAATAACTGCAAAAACTGCAAGATGAGAAGAAAAGGTTTTTGTTTTGTTTTTTAAGTTCAAATAATCAGGTGAAAAAAGAGAGAAAGGTGAACATGGTGGGCGTGGTGGTGCATCTGTGAATGAACCACAGATTTACTTGTCAAAGCCTTTTTACTTTGGACCTTTTAACTTTTGTTCATTTGATGTAGATCTTATTTTTTGTTTTTGTTTGTGGGTTTTTTTGTTTGTTTGTTTTTGTTTTTTTTGTCATGTTGTCTCTGAGATGTGAGTTTTAAGGAAAGGTGACATACACATGATTGGGACAAACCTGATTTATAACATAACACCAAGCTTCATTCACTGAATCACTGAAATAAAATAAAAAAATTTAAATTAAAGTCTGATTAACCACCCAGCCCCAAAAACCTGAACTTAGTGTGACAAATTGTCATGATTGTATATTTAACACGTATACATAGAAGAATGTTTGGTGTATAGTAGTGTAAGTAGCCTAAAGGTTTGAAGTACTTGCCCACATCAGGTTTTGTTTTTTTTAAATATTTTTCATTCATACTTGTTATGAAGTGTGTTGGTGGCCTACATAATGATCATGTTATGAGGTTACATGCATGAGTAAATGTAAGCGGAATCATAATGTGGTTGAGGTGAATCTAATAAGGCCCTCCACAAGGTCTAGCTTCTTCCCTTATGCTCCCAAAACATTACATTGCATCTTCCTGCTTCATATTCATATAGATTCTCTCACCCCTTGCTGCTGTTGTTTTTATGTATTCATTCCCATGTACAAGTAACTGCTGATCACTTTAGCTGCATTGTATAAATGTTTACATTTCAGATTTAATTGTAGAAATATCCCTCAGTGAAGTGATTCAAATTAACTACAGCCATGTACGATTGTATTTCAGGTCAGAGCAAACTTTAAAGAGGTCAGGTACAGGACCTGTTTGCAAGGTGGTTCACGGTCGGAGCAATCACAGCAGAGTCAAGTCTTTCCGTCGTCTTCGAAGCGTCAAGAGCCCAGTTAAGCAGGCCCCTCCCCCCGCTTCATCCTCCACTGTTCCCGCTTCATCCTCCACTCTTCCATCTACCCGTAGTCCACCTTCTACTCTTCAGCCCTCCAGTGTTCCTAAAAGTGGGGAGCAGAACGACTCGCCCAGGACAGCTCTCATCAAGTAAGATCCACAAATTCATTTTTCACCTTCAAATGCCATCAGACTTGCCATACCTCCTGCAGTGAAAAATTAAGAACTTTATTCCCCAGAGTTATACAAGCTCATTTGATATCACAGAATATTCGATTCTTGAAAGTGTTAAGTGTTGTGGGTGTTTAGTTGTACACAGCCTGAGAGCATAAAATTAATTTCATTAAAAGACTAATTTGACATTGTCATTAAATCTCCTTCCACCCAGATTGAATTATTTATCCTCCAGTGACCTCAAATAAATGTGCTGCATGCTAATGTGTTCTCTGAATGAGTCCCACGTTACAAAGATATGAAAAGCTGAAAACACTGAGGTTTATAGCATATCATTGTGACTTTTGTATAAACACCTGTGTTTTCCTTAGTTAAAAGTGGCTTAACCCAGTTTGAAACAACTTGTACAGTTATTATTTTGATTAATCCACACTGAATAATTTCAACACTAACAACTTAATTTGGGGAAAAAATGTTAGTACGGGATCTAGACAGACGTGGATTTTTGAAGGTAAACTAAAATGGCCGGGCTTGATTGTTTTCAGTCATATGAATGTATTCGAAAAGATACAAAAGAGCTAAAAACATACTACATTTAAAATTTGACAAAATGTTCCATAAATGGTTTCACTTACTGTGGATTTGCTGGATCGTAACGAGTACGTTGGGACAACCTTACTGCTAATTAACAGGCTGTAACCTGCCCAATAAACTCTTTTATGGGCTGATAACGGATATGGAATAAGGCTGGAGACGAGCTTAAAATTAGTTTGGTAAGCAGAGCGTACCACATCACATAACATATCAGGTTTCACAGTATCAAATGAGCTGCTTGTAATTCTGTAATAATGTGGTTGGAGGAAGTGTACTTATTTTACAGGCAGTGACAGCTGCCACAGAAACCAATTTCTTTTTCAGCTTTTGTTAAACAGAAAATTCCAAAGTTGACTGGAAGCCAGATTAATGTTAATTTCCATGCACTGCCATCCTCTACACCCTCCAAGATTCCAAAAACAAGGCCAAGACACATTGAATGAATCTAAACAGTAACAAAATATTAGATCCCAGCTTAGTGCATACAGATCTACACTTCTTAATTTACTATATAGTATAATTTTACTATCTTTCATAAAAAAATTGTCTAAAGGTACACACTTGTGGTTTGGCTGGCTCTTACACTGAATGTTTATGAAGTAATGTCTCCCAAACCCAGCTGTATAATCAATATCAAGAGAGTCAAAGGTTTGAAAAAGTACAAAGCCATTTTTCTTCCTATTTCTATACCTGCCATTCAAATAAAATTTCAACTTGTGATGCAAATTATGATAATCAATGTAGAGCAGCCACTTAAATATTCATGAATTGTAATAATATACCATTTTGAGGTACTTCAAGGAGAAATTCAGACACAAGTGCCACAAGTAAAGGCAATACTGCTACGAGTTACAAGAAAGTGAAAGAGAATATTGGCTCACTCCTGCTGCCCACCATTACACTGACATTTAGATGTGTTTCACTAGACTAACATGTAAAGATTGTATTAACAACTATATCTGAGAGCACAGTGGCGTTGAATATCATGATATTAGCATGAAAAGCTGTGCAGCACTAATAAGACCCTGTATCCACCTCTGCCTTATGATTGTTAGCTTGTTTATACTTTATGATATTATGTTGTTGCAGTGAATGTTATATTTATACTTTACAGACTTTTTCAATGATATATGAAATCCATTAACCTTTCACTGTGTGCACTTTTCTAGAAACAGGTGGTATGTGGAAATGGCACCAGACTTACTCACCATACAAAAACATTCATTATTCATTTGCTTGGTTGAAGTGCAACTTTTTAATCTTTCATCCTATTAATATTTATGGGACAGGAGTGGTTAATAATACACCACTGATGTTTCTTTGCTGTCATGAATGTTTAATACTATAAATCGTCATATTTTAGCCTCAGAAACACACAAACGTCCGGCTGCCATGTTCCACAAACCTAAAGCCAGATTTCCCAGTGATTATAATCCTTATTAGTATGTACTGTTTCATGCTGTAAACACCAGTGTGTTTATGGTGGGTCTAATGGTTTTATAAGATATGTTGTATGTGAGTGACAGACTACGAGAAAGTGTTGACCCCCTCCTTCCCTCGTTGTAATGCATTGTTTTCCAGTGTTTTACAGTAGGTCAGGGTGGGGACACATAGCACTAAAATAGAACCGTACTTTCCTGTTGAGTTGGTTACGCACAATGCAGGTTTTGTACATCGTGTCCCTCCCAATAATCAAAGGAATCCACATGGTTAAATTACTTTCTTTAATAAGTTAATTGTCATTAGGAATATTATATTAATTCACAGCTTAGTGACAAATTGAGGAATGAGCAGTTGAAAGTGTGGGAAACAAGGCAATAGGATTGGTATGTGCAGGAAGATGAGCTAAGCTATCCTGTATTCAGTGCATCAGTGATGGACACTATCTGCCTGCCAGAGGCCCTGACACTCCCAACCTGAAATTACTTTTCCCCTTTTCATAACTTCCATCATGCAGCTCACATCAGGGAATGATTTCTTTTTTTCTTTTTTTTTTTAGATATAACCAAACCAAAGATGTGAAGCTCATATTAAACTTGGCCAGAATTTCTGAGAGTCAAGAGCTGAAGCTTCAGACTGCCCTAAACAGCTTCTTTATGTTGGTAAAAGCAGGCAGGCACACAAAAACACAGAAGCCCCGCCCACATGCTGATTAAATCTAATTGGCTGCCCCTCATAAAAGAAGAAGAAAAAAGGGTTAAAGGGTATGTGAACAGGGATGACTTAAAAGCCCCTTTGAGATAAATAACAATAATTTCGGACTTTGAAAGCAATTGGATAAAAGAAGGGACGTGTGCCTGTATTTTCTATTTTGATGCCATATTGTGAAATACAACATTAAATGCCGCACACTGTAACCTATAAAAAGTATAAATAATTTATTTTGATCCGGGGTTTGTGCTTTGCTAGCTGTATTGCCTTAGGAATAACATTTTTGCAGTTATTTTCTTTAAGAAAGAAGGAAAAGGCTTTGTAACATTTTGTTCCATTCATAGTCACCAGATGGTGATTGACGGGGGCGACTATTGCTTGAACCATAATAAGAGCAATGATGGTAATGGATTGTCATGACATTTGATGAATGTTTCATTTAAAACAACTTTGTAATTTCTTTGTGGTGATCTCTTGACTCTTCACACCATCATCAGCACAAAATTGAAAATTACAGTTACAGAGATGGGCAGTTACTTGTAACGCGTTACTGTAATCCGATTACTTTTTTCAAGTAACGAGTAAAGTAAGGGATTACTATTGCAAAAACGGTAATTAGATTACCGTTACTTTCCCGTAGGAACGCTGCGTTACTGCGTTACTAAAACCGTGATTTTTTTGCGAGAATGTCTCATGACAGTGACGTAAGCGAGTGCGCCGTTAGTGACAACAGCTGTGTGCAGATCAACAATGGATCACATATCGATTGTGGGAGAGAGTATGAGCGTGCAGCGTTTAAAGCGTGGAAGTACTGACCTTACTTTGAGTTTGATTCCATAAAAAGTGACAAAAACATTAGCGTCGTGCGTGGGAAGAAAACTTCTTTTTACAGCGAAAAAACCCCTAAACTTCCAAGCAAGCACCGAGTGCGCAACGACGTAATGGGAAACTCACAGAGAAACTCGCGGATTCTTCAACTGACCGCGGCACACCTGCACCAGGGTAAACCTCCGCCTACCCCAGCTCCTGCTTTACAGGTGAAAATAGAGCAACAGGACCGCTGAGTCTTTGACTTTATTTATTTTCTGCTGTGTTTTACTTGCATCTATTTGAAAGAGTGAGTGTAAACACAAAAAATATTTTATTTTATGTGCTGGAATGTGTAGAAAATAGGTTTAAATGTTAAACTAATTTCTTCCAGTCAGAGAATGTTGCATATAATTAAATTTTTGCTTGATGCATAAAGTTAAAAGATTAAAACTAATAAAACAAGTTTAAAAAAGAGACTTTTCCATTTGATTACATTTTGTATGATGGATTATGCAGAAAAAGTAGAATTGGGCTGAAAGATCTATCGCTTTATCACCTATTCAGGTTGTAAATCGTGTTTTTAAAAAGTAACTAAGTAATTAATTACTTTTGAAAATAAGTAATCAGTAAAGTAACGGGATTACTTTTTGGGGAAGTAATCAGTAATTAGTTACTGATTACTTTTTCAAGTAACTTGACCAACACTGTACAGTTATGACAATAATTGATAACTTGACCATAGTTAGCAAATAATAGCATGCTAATCCTTTAAATCGGGGGTCCTCGAAAATTTGATGACTGCATACAAACTTACCCTGATGTCATGGCTGCAAAATGAATGCACACATAAAACACATGTTTGCTCACAGGATGATTGTTTCCAGTATTGGTTATTAGTTGTGTACTGATTGTACCTTCTTTTAAACAGTTAGTAAGGTGGCTTTATTTTCTTTGACCCAGCAGTATTGGTTAATGTTAGGAATGCTTTAATCACAGTGACACAGTTGCTAGAGCTCAAAACTTGAAGCTGAAGGAAAAGGGCTGGAATTCCTTTTGGGGTTTTTAATGGGGGTTTAAGTTAAATTTGTTTATACGATGCCTTGCCAGGACAGATATTTTCTGTTTTACAAATTGCTTTGAATTCAGCTTTGGTCTGTACTTAACACTCTTCTAAAAACCACTAGATCTTGGCCTGCTCACAGAACCTCCCATACTCCTGTGCATCCTCCTGTCTCTCCGTCCATCTGCTCTTTTCTGTCATGTGATCATGTGAGAAACACAAGATAGACACACTAGGAGACAAGAAAACGTGTTTTTCTCTCAAGTGTCATAAAACCAATTATTACTGACACGGTGCCAAGTAACTAGTTCAACCAGTATTTTGTCTGCAGTAGAGAGAGACACACAAACACTCTTCTTTG